CAAAAAAAACGATTTTTCAAGGGCATATTTCACGACGCAATCTCATCAAGGCAATGAATTCTTTCGGTTTTTTTCTCAACATTCTTCAATTATCTTCCAAACAGATAGATGAGAAGAATTGTGCAACTGTTCTTAGACATTTGATCAGTAAAATTAAACGAAACAAATTTGCATTTTTTTTGAACCATCCGGATTTCGTTTTAAGAAAAGTCTGTATAAATATCCAAGCTTCAGAGTGATTAGTTCGTAGCGGCTCAGTCAAAATCTGTCGGCTTTACTGATTTTCAACAGTGAGTTTTGCATTCGTTCGTTTAAGGAGAACTCATTTTTAGTGTTTTTTTGTTGTTACCTTAACGATTGCACGATTCGAATTCCATGGAAGTATATCCTTCTGTCATGTCCCTTGATTAGATAAAAGAGTATGGTTAACGGTGGTTGACACTCATGAGGAGACAATACTGAACAAAAATTTTGCGATTGGTTTTAGATCAAGTGAAAAGATCACAAAGAAAACTTACGAAATGTGTAGCAAAAATTAGAAGCATTTTGTTACGGTGGATGTGCGAGACTTTCAAACCAACAGATTATTCAATTATCAAAACGATTTCAGCCCAGCAAAAATGAGTGTCAAACTTCTCATTAATTTGGCCTCGATGACAAGTGGCGCGATTATTTTTGTCATATTGATTTTTATGACGTCCATTTTCAATGATCTCAACAATTTGTACTTTGAAATCAATGCAGACGCACAGGAATTTGAGGTCATTTTTTCATTTATTGACATTTTTTTGTTAAGTAATCCAATCAAAGAAATCTCGCTCGCACCTGAAGAGACACGAAAAGAGCTAAGTCAAATCTGGTTCATGCTCGATAAGCTTCTTTGATTCCCAGAGTAACGCTTGCAATTGTTGACTGGGTCTTCATCGAAAGAATGAAACGGAACGAAATTAATTTAGACCAAAATTATGCTTTTGTAGATCCTAGCGAACGATGCATGGAATCAGTTGATGGGTATCCAGGGAGTTGATCAAACTGGTCAAAAGACCAAGGCGGCAACATTTGAGGATATCGTCATCTTGCGTGGATACCGTAGGAAACGCCAAATTGGTGCTGGATGTGGTAAGTATTGAGAATTCAGCTGTTGAATAGTCTGAAATGTCATATTCAATATANATTATATATTTTGATATAGCTGATACAATTAGACCTGGATAAAACCAAATGTACTGTTCCATTTTAGATCATCTTGAAGTGCTGAGCAGTTGTCCACAGGGTCCACCTGGACCGCCTGGTGATCCTGGTTTACCTGGAGGTATGAAATTTTCATAAGAAATTATCCATTGATCATTTTGATTGCCGTTTACTCATATAATAATTGGAAACGATTTTTCGAAGAGAAGAAATTCATTTAGACACATCCTGTCATGTCGATTTGATTAATCTGACATCTAAGGATTGAACTTCCTGCATATAATGTTTAAAACACTGTCAGCTTCCGGTGAGCACGCAAATTGTGTTCGAATTCACTGAAGATACGGTGAAAAATTTGGTAACCTTTCAGAACCTGGCCCAAGCGGACCTGACGGTAAACCAGGAATTGACGGTGTTGCGATACCCGTTCTTCAAGCTGGAGGCGAATGTATTCTGTGTCCAGCCGGTCCTCCAGGCCCAGCAGGTCCTCCGGGACCGCCCGGCCCACCCGGTCCGCCAGGCCTGAACGGTGCACCTGGTCAAGGTGGTGGAATGGGACCACCCGGTCCGGTAGGCCCACCAGGACCCCCTGGACCACCTGGACCAGTTGGCCCAGTTGGACCAGTTGGCCCAGGTGGCATCTCTAAGCCCGGCGGTACTTGTGGACCGAAAGGACCAAGAGGCCCACCTGGTCCTCAAGGACCTCGCGGAAAACAAGGTGCACCCGGCATGGATGCAGCACCTGGTCCGATGGGACCACCTGGACCTATAGGACCACCTGGAAAGAATGGTTTACCTGGCCCATTGGGACCAATGGGAGCGGTACGTTATCGTCTCACTTTCTCAACTATTTCAAGTTGCCGTCCTACGATTACCGAGATTAAAACCTCATTCACTTCCCTGCTGTCATAATGTGGTATTTCTGAACCTGACTCCTTGAAGTCATGTCTCACTTCAAAAACTTGTCTTTAAAACTACTCACAATTTGAGGGATCAGTTTTTATTAGAAAAATTTTAAGATTTCTCACAATGTAAGAGAATGATTTGTGATTTTGAGAATGATGC